GTTATGTCAAATCATCGAGTTTGACACTTGAAAAATTATTTTCACATTTTGACACAATCAAATTTCACAGATGACACAATCTGTTTGACAATTTGAAATTGGCGCGTAGAGCTTGCCGACCAATGGTGCCGTTTATCACCTGTGACGTAGTGACCAACCTGCGTAATATCATACCTTGTATTCTTTGTATCATGTGGCCAGATCTAGTGTTTTACATCACTTTAAAGTCATAGGCTACTCGTTAAAATCAAGAAAAATATACGCTTTAAAACTAAATCTTAAATAACCCAACAAGGATTTATTTTAGGTATAGGAACATATATAATTAAATAGTAACGAATTGAAAAAACCTTTTCACTAGTGGAATAAAAAAGTGGGTTTCCATTTGAAAAAAATGATTTATGATAATTTTTTAATCGCTCAATTCTATGACAGCTGCGGCCATTATTATATGAAATTCGAACAATTTAATATTTGAAAAAGATAGCCACATGTTTCCTCTTTGTGGCACAGTGGCTGTAGTAATCACTAAATTTGAAGTTTAGGCTAGACACATATTTTTGACAGGCAGATTTTTTCCTTTAAACATTTTAAATATTTTTTTCCTCAAAAACGGTTAATGTTAGATATAGAGTGTTTAATATCAAAATTCATAAAATTTTACAGAGAACTTAAGTACATAATAAAAAATGGAGGCACCCATTTAAAATAAGAAAGTTGGTGTCAACTTCCGGTATTTCCGGAAGGGCCGCCATATTGAAAATATTTTTAATCGATAGATCTCGTTGTGAAACTGTGATGTGCAAAAAATCTCTGAGCTAGATGTTGTAGTTCTATAGAAACTTCTAATGCATGCTCAGCCTGGGACACCCTGTATAACACTAGAAATACACGTATTTAATAACTCTGGACAGGAAACAATATAAAATAAATATTGCTTTTGATGACAATATTAAAAACAATGGACACTCGAAGCAACATTTGAATTTTAAACAATTGCCTATGGAATTAAACAATTTCCTGAATATGCTAGTTGACCTTTAATTTCACCAATAGAAGTATGTTTACTTTATTTGTTCTTTTAATATCTTGGGTTAGAGGGAAAATAGAGAGTATGCGGTTTGCGATGGCTTTGGAAATTTTGTGCTCTATTATGACCAACGAGGTATAGCCTGCCATTTAAAATTTTTATGTACTATTACTACTACTACTGCCATTACTCGCTGACGAGTATTCGACACACATCAGAAGATGGTCACGCAAGGCGTTTTCTTTCATGAGCTTTTCTGTGACTGAAAAGCCCGATACGTGATGTTATCTGCCTACCGCACTTCGGATATTCAAAAATCTCATTGCTTTGTTGCCTCTTTACTTTTGGGTTGTCGCTGTTAACTGAGTTTACAATTCTTCTCCATTGAGTTCTATTGTGAGTTGTTTCTTCCCACTCATTCTGCATGTTAATCCTCTTTAAGTTTTCGTCGAAAATGTCCTTGTACCTTTTCAGTTGTCCACCCGGCCTCCTCTTAAAGTCTGCAAGCTCACCGTAAAGCAGATATTTTGTATGCGGTTTTCTTGCATTCTGCATATGTGACCAGCCCATCTTAAGCGGGATTTTATAACCATGACTCCATTACTCTCGCAGTTAGTTTTTGCAAGGACCGATACGTTTGAGACATGATGGAACCACCGGATTCTTAAGAGTTGTCTAAGGTGTCTCTGTTGCAACTTGTTTAATGCGTTCATGTGTCGGCGGTACGGCACCCATAATAAATTTTTTATGTATACGCTCAACAACGTTACGATGTCACCCAGCGCCCTCTAGCTACCACGGTAAAATGTGGGGAGGAAAAGTCTATATTGCAGATTATTAAGGAAGGAAACCTCTTTTAAACGAGCCTCATTTTGTTTAATTCTGTTAACCTAAACCAGCTTCCACTAGGTGATGCGAGAACTTGTCGTTGATGGGGAAGCTCCTAGTCAGGTGCTAAAGGAAATTTTCTCTGTCAATTTAAGGAGTAAAGAAAACCAGAAACAGCCTGGCGCATCTCCATCAAAGGACTCAAAGAGCTAGAATCTCTCACCTCTGCTCCGGTAAGGAGAGAAAAAGGATGGAAAGCCGTCCAACACCGAGAGTCAAGCAGGGACGAATCACCAGCTTTGCCGCTATTGTTGGACAAGTAAAAATTGCGGTGCTGCCAAAGGACTACCCAGAGGTTGCGCTGATCACCGACCAGCAAACGGCTCTAGAAGAGGCGGTACTGGACAAAGTAGTAGGGAGCGGATTGCAACGCAAAGATCCACAAAATATAGGCCCGCTACGTCTTGTGGGTGGGCATGCTCCTCATAGATTGTATTGATCACATTTATATTTTCATGATATTTTGACGACGTTCGTGCACTATAAAACTCCATCATCAATGATCAACTCAGAAAATCATGTAACTGTGACAGTTAGTTTTGACGTAAGAAATGTCAAAAGTTGATGTCGTCCGATCACGACCAAATTTGGTGGGTAGACGATGTCGGCGTCTTCATTAGGTGAGACTACTTCATCAGGGGGTGGACTTTACCTTTTTAAAGTTATAAACGCTCGAAAAAATCATCAAATTCAATAATATAAACTAATCGAAAAAAGTTAAGCATATTGTGTTTTAGCTAGGAAGAAACATTTTCAGAAAAAATGTGTTATAACTATTAAAAGCTATGTCGTTTGTGTAAAAAATACTGTTTGTAAACATAAAAAACTGTACCCAAATAAATAAAAAGCATTATGATCAAAAATGTACATTTAATTTTTGTTTAGAATAGAACTTGTTTGCGTGTGGCTAACCTGCAGTTTGCGATATTGTGGTTATTCTGTCATCGATAATATGAACAGACGTCATTTAACTATTTAATGAGTCTGGATCTGTCATGGAGAGGCATAGGGAGGGTCGACCAAGGTCGACAAATGCTAGGGAGGACCGAAGCTTACTGAGAGGAGCTAGGATAGATCCTGCAAGAAACTACACGTTGCTTAGCCAGGACCTTTTGGCTCCCAGCAGAGTACGTATTACCCCTCGGACGGTCTTAAATCGATTAAAAAAAGCAGATTTACATTGCTATAGGCCTATAAGACGCCCTCCGTTGACAGCGAGAGTCAGGTTGAGGTCATAAAGCTCAACGTTTGCTCTGGCGTAATGAAAGAGCTAACTGGAATGATTAGTGGCATAGTATAGTGCGATGTTCAGCGATGAAAGCCGCTTTTCTCTTTGTACTGACAGACGTACAGTTCCTGTGTGGAGACTAAGAAATACAAGACTCAACGACCGATATGTTCAAGAAGGGCATCCCTTTGGAGTTAGAGGTGTAATGGTCTGGGGTGGAATTTTCTACGGGGGCCGAACGCAATTGTATGTCTGTGAAGGTACAATGACAGGTGAAATTTACGCTGACGACATCGTTTGAGGATCACGGAGGGCGTCTTATAGGCATATAGCAATGTAAACCTGATTTTTTTTATCGATTTAAGACCGTCCGAGGGGCAATACGTACCCTGCTGGCAGCCAAAAGGTCCTGGCTGAGCAACGTGTAGTTTTTTGCAGGATCCATCCTAGCTCCTCTCAGTAAGCTTCGGTCCTCCCTAGCATTTATCGACCTTGGTCCAAAACTTTTAAGTAGAGTTAAAATTATTATTAAGTATAATCCGGGCCTGCTCTCTGAATCGTTATACGTCCCAATTATCTTTCGTTCTTTATTAAATATTACACCATTTAGCTCGAAATATAGAAAGCTGAAAATTGGCAATTTTTTTCTTCACGCCTCGAAAAGCAGCCGGCTATTTTTTATCGATTTTTGAATAAAATATGAAATTAGCTCGTAACAGATCATAGAAAAAGCCGTACGAAAATGGACAAGTGGCCGCAAAAAACCGTCCAGTCATACTCTAGTAAGCATGGGCTATTGTTCGATGCCGGATTTCGGTCAGTACCCACTTCGTCTGATTTTTTAACGAGAAAATATTGAGGAAGGCATAAACAGCGCTCCTTTTCAAGACGTGCCTCGGTAAAATTATCGTTGTTTGGTTTCCGATTGTTCCCATGTCGAATCTTTTTGCTTATTTTTTGGTCGTGCGCGATTTAATCATAAGTTGCAGATTTAATAAATATACTAGAACCTTGGCTATCTACAGTGAATATATCATGGCGTCGAGTAATAGAAGAATGGAACGGTGGAATATCCAGGGGGGGGGGGTTAGGATAAAAGAGGCTTTTTTAATACAATCTAATAAAAATAAATGTATTGCTCATGCATCTGTAGATGTTAGTAATGTATGGTAATTACTTTTTTTGATTTTAAAGAACATAACATAAATAAACATAACATACGTAAAAATTCAAAATAATCATACAGAAAGTTTGGGCTTTTTGGTTTTACCTTATTAAGTAATTGTTATCAGGTAGTAATTGTTAATTTTGAAGTTTAACTTGATATAATGTCATTTTAACAGAACGCCAACGGTTTTTGTAGACGTATCTGTTTTAAAAAACTAAAGTGTTCTCGAATAGTTGAATTTAAATATTTTTTTTAAATAGTTTTTTTCTTTATTCTTTGTATTTTTTTGCTTTCGACGACGGAAAGAGATAAACTTTCCGAAACGTTAAGCATTTTTTTCTTTGTTATGCAAATTTGTATAACTGTAAACATAACTTCTGACAAGCAGTGTCCGTTTAGGTTTAACGCAGAAGTGTTTACAAAAAATAACTATTTTATTTTGTAGATTTTCTTCCAGTGCAGTGGCAAAATACCCATAAAGGATTTTTTTGGAGAAGTTTGTTCATATTGTGTTGAATTAATAGAAAGCACAAGACCTATCAATATTAAATCACCTTGTTAATTCTCCGAAATCGTAAAACAATAAATGTGAAAATAATAAGACCATTTTAAACTATTTCTTATTTAATTTCTTCTATATAACCATACATTGATCAATTTTCAGTTTAAACCGAAGCAATTCCTACCTGTAAATCTTCGAATCCTGCCGTGAGACTTTTAGTAGAGGCATCGAATTTGCCCGACCATCGGCTGCTGCTCACCGTTTTCGTCTTCACCACCTGCAAGTGGGCCCCCGCCGCTCTACTCTGAAACACCTCCAGCTGTCTGCTGGCCTGCTGTTGCACCGAACCATCGGCACCAGTTCTTGCTCTAGAATCCACCACCTGAAACAACAGGAACAGTCTTATTAATTTTCTATATACTATCGATTTAGAGAAACTATCATAAAAATTAGATATTTACTAGTTTATTATTGACATATTGTGTCATTACATGTATAAAATTATACACTATATCTGTATTAATGATAGTGATTTTGAAAGAAAATATCATAACAATTCATCAACTTATGCTAACCATGTTAGCATCATCAGCAGGTAACTAAAGAAGTGTTTAACCAGACTAAAGTGTTTTGTGTATTGTGGTGAAATTGTGTGTTTTGTTGTTGTAAACTAAATTTTTCAACACAGATTGGATATGTTATAATCTAATAATATTTGAGTAAATTAAATGATACTGCCAATTGTGGAGTTGGCAGGAACAGTTGGCAGGAACTGTTTTGGCACACCCAACCCCTTTAGCATGGTTAGCTTTACTGCATCCTAATAAACATGTCTACTAACATATAATGACATGTAATGACTCAACTATATCAGTAGCATATAAAAATAAATCCAAAAATAAATTGATTGGTGAAGTTAAAAAGGTAAGGTATAAGAAAAAAACTATCATGTACACACATGGCCAAAATTATTGCATATAACGATATTTTTATTTTATTTTGGATCTAATATGATTCTTTTTATATTTTTGGACATATTGGCTTACTACACTAGACTAACTAGTATAAAATTAAAAATCTAAGTGCAACTAGGCTGTTATTATAATTTTATTTCATAATGAGTGAAAATCAACAAAAACAAATTTCATTTTAAACAGAAAATATTGAAAACAATTTTATTTCTCACAACTAATACTCTGTATTGCCTCCTCGAGCCGCAATGCAAGCTGTGAGACGACGTGACATGCTCTCAATTAAGTTGTCCAGAAGATGTTAAGGAATTGCTTCCCATGTTTCGCGCGCAGCAATTTTCAATTCATTTAAGGTACAGGAGGATCATTCATTTTGGCATTTTAACATGTCCCAAGCATGCACGATCACATTCGTATCTGGAGACATCGGTGGCCACCACAGTTTTCTTATACCCTCTTCCTCACAAAATTCTCGAACCGCTAAAGTGCGATGGGGAGGAGCATTATCGTCCATGTAAACAAATTCATCCCCCACTGCCCCTCGAAATGGACGCACAATAGGCTCTAAAACGTCTCTAAGATATGAGGCACCTGTCATTGTGCCATCAAAAAAAAATAAGAGGAGCTCCGTGCGTTATACCTGCCCATACCATAATGCTTCCCCCTTGAAGTTCAAGCGTGCTCGTCTTCCAGATGCTCTCCAGACCAAAGTTCGTCGCGAGTCTGACACTAGGCCTATTCTTGTTTCATCACTAAACATGACGAAATTCCAATTAGGTCCATTTGCTCTCATCTCCTCAGCCCATTGTAGTCGCGTAAATTTGTGCTGTAAATTAAGCTTCGGAACACGTAGAGGCCGTAAATGTAATCCTCTGTCATGGAGTCTTCTTGCTATGGCCTTTCTTGAAACATTCAAGGCGAGCTAACTCATTTTTAATAGCAGTACTAGAAAGCAGGGGATTGCGTCGTGCAATTAGGGATATTTGACGGTCTTGCACAGCAGTAGTAACTCTCTACCTCTTCCAGGCCCGTCTGTAACTTCGTTTGATTTTTTTTAATATTCGCGAAACATCGCTTTGGTTAACTCCTACAATTTCAGCTATTGCAACTTGCCGGTAGCCCTGTTGAGACAGTGTTACTATTCTGACTCTATTAAACTGTGCAATAATGTTTCTAGACATTTTAAGGCCAAAATAATAGTCAAATTTCTTCTGAAACCCAAGAGACCACAAATCGAAATGTGCAAGAGTTTGTAATAATATTGGGTCTGAACGATAAACATTGTTTACCCTATCCATTTTAACAAAAAAATGTTTATTACTGATTATCAAAGCTATGTATCAAAAAAGATTCTTTAAATTCCTTTCCGTATATTTTTAAACGACATATCGTCGGTGAAACGTGATAAACTGCTAACTCCATTATTCCTAATTTTACAGGAGAGCAAAAAAACGGTACAAACAAATATGTACACATGTGGGAAGTATTTTGATGCGTTAATATGATAAAGAGATAAGAATATTATTGGCTGGGGAACAATAAAACTCAATATTTCGTGTTACGTCATTTTTTTCCGACACAATAGGGAGATAGCAGATATTCGTCTTGCAGAAATAAGAAAAAACATATACTTCTGGAGATAGCAACCTTTATTGTTTGAAATTTTGAAAGTGGAAATGAATATTACCCAAACAGATTTATAAATAATCAATTAAATTTAAAAAATATGATATTCATATATTTATAATATCGTCGGTCTAGAAGCAAAACATACAAGTCCAAAAACGAATAAATTTTAATGAAAATTTTAAAATTTTTTGCATTTTTAAAGAACTGAAATAGCAGAATTTTGGACTTAATGAATATGAAAATAATTTAAAAATTAAACTTATAATTCTTAGAAGATATGGTAGAATCCTTCCATGCTTATCCTAATTTTTATACAACGGTAGTAGACTGAGCTTGGAAGACAGTGCGTGATTTTATTAAATGTTTATTACTTTTCTCCTTATTTTTTTAATTTTTATAAAAATTGTATCATTTACGTGAAAATACGTTGAAAAAAATAAAACTGATTAGGTATCATGGAAATTCTTGTACAAGTAAGTAATGTTATTTAAATTATTTATAGCACGCCGATGAATTGCTCGTATATAGCGAATTTCGTTTTTCCCCTAACCCTTTACGGATACCCCGTATTTACAGAACGGATCGACGCAGGGTCGAACTGGCCATATTATATAGATAACTATTAGGGGGGGGGCCCTTATAGTTCATTAATAATTAATGAGAATTCAGAATAATTATTATTTTTAACAATATTTGCTTTTGCATTGCATTATGGAATTTGCATTGCATTGGTTTACCTTGCATTAGGGTAGTTCCCTGATTTCTATACAGGGTGAGTCTTAAATAAGTGCAAATATGTGCAGGGCTAGTAAATCTCGATAACAAATTAACAAATTATTTTCTCTTTACGGGTTTTTCAAATAAATCCAAAACAACCGAGTTATTTTACTTTTAAAATTTCCAATTTTTTGCTATAATTTTGAGAATCATTGGATTTTCTTTTTTGTAAATATAATCTACTACCTATGTTACCATATTACAAACAAAGTATGTTTTTAAACTAAAAATTAAAAAAAAATCCCAATTTTTTTTTAAATTCCAAATTTTCAAAAAAAAAAAATTCGCGCAAAAAAACTCATAATCGTGTTTCTTGGGTCGAAATATACTACCCTAAAAATATTTGCACTTATTTAAGACTCACCTTGCATATAATAGGGAAAAATTGACCAAAACGTAAGGCGAAAAAATACGCCAAAAAACACACTAGCCCCTCCTTACATTGCCACCCAGGCCCCTTTGACCTAGTGCAACCCTGGATCGACGTACTGTACTAAAAAAACATACGACTGAGAATCTGTGTGTTTGCTTTAGCGTGATCGTAACGAAAATTACGGAGATAGCAGCATTTCGGTGGCTATTTCAGATCACTAGGAGTTAGCAGATATTATTGAGTTAAAATAAAAAATTTTCTTTAATCGGAAAAAATATGTTTGCTTTCCCTACTTATAGAGTATTTTTTACTCTTTCTAATGGTATAAAAAAACTTATTAACGTAAAAAATGGAGTTAGCAGGTTATCACGTTTCACTGACGATATGCAATAATTTTGGCCACTTGCAATGATGCAATAATATATACATATTTTTTCAAAATACAATTTTCTTCATATATCTTGTGTATAGCATGAATATATATGATTGTACAGTTTAATATTAAACAGATGTTAGATGTGGAAACGGTAAATTTAAGGCGGTACCCGGTATAAAACATGTTTTCTGTTACGTTATATGAATTATTTTAATTATAACCTGTAATAACATACAAACTCTATAAAAACTTATTTATTTATAAATTCTTTCACGATCATTCACTTAAAAACGCAAAATATCAAGTCTTTACACTGCTGTGTTAAGTAATTAAATAAATAGTGCCTCATCGAGCCGTAATGTATTTACAGGGTGTGTCAGTAGGAAACTACTTCAATTGATATTATAAGAAGTCTGTGAAGGGATTTGAGACAGTAGATATGTTGCTAGGGGTGATTTAATTAAAGTATGTTGAAGATGGCGGTATTAAAAAAATCTATTTTGGCATGAAAGTTTACAATAACTGGCGGTAAATTTCGTCAGTATTACCAAGTATTACTTTTCTAACTGCAGTCGTCATGGCTAGCTTTAACTATTGTTTTATACTATCTTCTACTTACAGTGTTATGCTTACAGAGCGTAGGAGACTTCTCGCATGTAGGTTTACACATTTTGTGATGTCTGCCATCAGTGATTCAGAATTACACGAGATCTACATTTACGATGAAACTACCTTCTATAAAATTATAGAACTTTTTGCTTAGAAAAATTGCAATTGACAAAAGGGTAAAGGATTTCCAATTTGTTTTTAATATCATAAATATATAAATTTTATTTTCCTTTTGGTGGCTAATCTGGGATTATTAAAATTTTATAATTAAACGTTTTATTGAGGGATTGTTTTTTCTATGTATTATGAATTATACTTAAAAAAATGTATTTCCACAAACTTAAGCATAAAAGCTAAATAAAATCATGGTTGAAGACACTTTACATTTTTATAGCAACCAAACTTGAACTAAACTTAAGAGTGGAATGGATGGAATATTATACTTTTATGCCCAACACACTCATGACTGTTAATTAACTTCGAGACGTGTGCAGTATGTGAGACGGTTATTTTTTACCTTCTTCAAGGACGTCATTGCTAATAAAATTAAATTAAACCTTTATAAGATTTCAAAATAAATACGACCTATTTTTTTTTGTAAAACGTATATAAAAACAAATTAAATAAGCTGTCTTAAATAATAGTTA